GGTTTTTTGTTTTTGCGTGCAGGCGTGCGGGCGAGGCGAAGCTGCGTGCGCGGGCGAGAAATAAGTCTCCTGTAGCTGAGGCGCGGCCGGACCAAAAGTCTCCCTTCCGGCAACCGGTGCCCCGCGGTGTCCCGCTGGAGTCCCGCCCGGGGGCCGGTGGCGCGCGGTGTCCCGCCGGTGTCCCGCCCGTGTCCCGTCGGTGTCCCGATGATGATGATGAGGAGGAGGATGATGATGATGTTGATGATGATGATGATGATGTTGATGATGATGGTGATGATGATGGTAATGGTGCTGATGATGATGGTGCCCCTATGATGATGATGTTGACGATGCTGATGATGATGATGATGGTGACGGTGGTGATGATGATGATGGTGGTGCCCCGATGACGATGATGGTGTTGATAATGATGATGCTGCTGATGATGTTGGTGCCCCGATGATGATGATGAAGATGATGATGAAGATGATGGTCCTGAAGATGTCGTTGATGATCATATGATTTGATGATGCTGATGAAGATCCTGATGATGGTGCCCCAATGATGATGATGAGGTTGATGATGATGCTGTTGATGACGATGCTTGTAATGATGGTGACCCGGTGATGATGATGATAATGATGGTGATGACGGTGCTGGTGATGAGGTGATGCCGATGATTTCGATGATGGTGGCCCAATGTTGGTGATGATGTTGCTGCCGTTGATTATGATGATGGTGTCCCAATGATGTTGATGATGATGAAGATGTTGACGATCATGATGGTGACGATCATGATGGTGTTCCGATGGTGATGATGTTGACGATGATGGTGTTGATAATGATGTGGGTGGTGTCCCGATGATGATGATGTTGATGCTGTTGTTCATGACCATGGTGATGAGGTGATGATGATGGTGGTGTTCCGATGATGATGAAGATGGTGTCCCGATGATGTTGATGATGCTGATGATGGTGACGATGATGGTGCCCCGAATATGGTGATGATGGTGATGATGATGTTGATGTTGATGCTGGTGATGAGGTGATGAGGATGTTGGTGTCCCAATGATAGTGATGATGATGTTGGTGACGCTGATGACGGTGATGTTGATGATGATGACGACGAAGTTGATTGCGATATGGATTGCGATATCGATAGTGCGACCGATAGTTACACCGAACGTGAGATCGATTGTGCGATCGATAGTGAGATCGATCGTGAGATCGACTGTGAGATCGATAGTCAGACCGATTGTGAGATCGATCGAATGAAATAGATCGAATGACATCGAATGTGAGATCGATCGAGTGAGATCGGTCGAGCGAGACCGATTGTGAAATCGATAATGAGATCGATAATGAGACCGATCGAGTGAGACGTTGGTTCCTTCCCCCCCCCCGAACCTCCTTATCACCCGAAGGGTGGTCGTAGGTATGTACATTTCTCCGCGCAGACCCACTGCACCCTGATGCTCCACCATATCAGTAGTCCACCAGATAGTGCCGTGGATGGTGAGGAGTAAAGCAAGAGCTGACCACCATAGGCCAGCTCCGCTACCAAGTTTGAAGGGGGCCGGCAGGCCCGACCAGAAGCTACGCCTTAGGCGAAGCACGGCTCCTGCTTTGTTGTATCGTAGTAACGATAGTCCCAGTCGTAGGAGATCGTCGCGGGAGCGACGGGCCATCTCAAGCGAAGGATGTTTTCGGTCTCGATGGCGAATCGTACACCTCGCACTGAGGCGTAGTCAGATATAGGCGGCCGGCCGCTTGAGCACAAACGGCCGCGGACACACGCTCGTTGCCTCTCGCCTGTAGCCCAGCTCACTTTAGAGTCCAGGAGGCCCTCCAAGACGGTCCAAGACGGCCCTGAGTCGCCAAACGATCGCTCGAAGACGCCCCAGATGGCCTCAAGATGGCGCAAGAGACTTCCAAGGCGCCCCAAGAGGCCTCCAAGAGGTCCCCAAGAGGGCCCCCAAATGGCAACAATCATTGTTTTCCCATGCGTGTTTGAAGAATTTAGTTTGGCATTCTCGCCTTTTCGGGTTCCCGATGCTCCAAGACGGCCCAAGAGGCCCCCAAGACCACCACAAAACAGCCCAAAAGGCCTCCAAGAGGGCCCCAAGACGGCCTAAAAGCGCCCTAAGACGGCCCAAGAGGCGCGGAAGACGGCCCAAGAGGGCCCCAAGACGGCCCCAAAAGGACACCACGAGGGAACACGAACAGAAAATCCGAGCCTTCCGCCCCACGGGACCCCCAGGAGGCCCCAAGAGGCGCCCAAGAGGACCCAAGAGGCCCCCAAGAGGCGCCCAAGAGGCCCCCAAGAGGCCCGCCCCAACACGGCCCCCAAAAGGCCTCAAGACTGCTTCCAGGAGGCTCCCGAGAGGCTTCCCACGAGATCCCAACGAACATCCACTAAGCTTATAACCCGCAATCCAGGCACGGTGGCGGGACTTGACGTAGGCAGCTGGATCCGCCGCCCTGTTGATTCATCACATGGGTGCCTGGCGTGCTGAATTTCTTACGGTTTTGGTTTTGGTTCTTTTCCAAAAGAACTCTGCCAGTGGGCTCCGGCGCGTCCCGCCGGGGTCCCGGGAGGATGCCGAAGGGTCTCTGGTTGCAAAGGGTTTTTCCGTTCCAGACGGCTCCAAGATGGCCCAAGATGGCCTCCAGGATGCCTCCAAGACGGCCAAGATGCCCTCCGAGACGGCTAAGATGGCCCCGAGATCCCTCCAAGACGGTCCAAGAGGTACCCAAGACGGCCTAAGATAGCCTCAAGATGGCCCAAGACGGCCCAAGAGGCCCTCAAGAGGCCTCCAAGACGGCCCAAGAGGCCTCCAAGAGGTGCTCCAGGAGGCCCGAAGAGGCCAAAATCGTTGATTTCCGTCGGGTTTTTGAAAGACTTTGGCATTTGCGCCTTTTCGGCTTTCCGACAGCCCAAGACGGCCCAAGAGGCCCCCAAGATCACCCAAGAGGCCTCCAAGATGGCCCCATGACGGCCCAAGAGGCTCCCACGACGGCCACGGGCCCGAAGACAGCCCAAGAGGCCTCCAAGACGCCAACGATGGCCTCCAAGACGCCCAAGGTGGCCTCCAAGACGGCCCCGAAGCGCCCCAAGAGGGCCCCAAGTCGGCCCAGAAAGGCCCAAAAGACGGCTCCCGACAGCGTAAGACGTGCCAGGAACCCACCAAGATGGCCGAAGTTGGCTCGAAGCTGGCCCAAGACGGCCCAAGAGGCCCCCAAGAGGGCCTCCAGGAAGGCCAGAAGAGGACAAAAACCTGAATGTTCCTAAAGTTTTTGATGGGTTTGGACACTTGCTTCTTTTCGGCCTTCCGACGGCCCGAGACGGCCCAAGAGCCCCCAAAGATCGCCGAAAGATCGCCCAAGAGGCCTCCAAAATGGCCCCAGAACGGCCCAAGAGGGCCCCAAGACGGCCCCAAGAGGCCCCCAAGACGGCACAGGAGGCCTTTAAGACGCCCAAGATGGCATCCAAGACGGCCCTGGAGCATTCCAAGAGGGCCCCAAGTCGGCCCGTAGAGGCCCCCCAAACGGCTTCCGACGGCGTCAGACGGACCAGGAGCCCACCAAGACGGCCGAACATGGCCTTAAGATGGCCCAAGACGGCCCAAGAGGCCTCCAAGAGGGCCCACAGGAAGACCCGAAAAGACCAAAATCATTGATTTCCCATTGGTTTTTGAAGGATTGTGGCATTTGCTTTTTGTTCGGCCTTCCGACGGCCCGAGACGGCCCAAGTGCCCCCAAAGATCGCCCAAGAGGCCCAAGACACGGCCCCAAGAGGCCCCCAAGACGGCCCAAGAGGTCTCCAAGACGCTCAAGAAGGCCTCCAAGACGGCCCAAGAGCCCTCCAAGACGTCATCCAAGAAGGCCCGAAAGGGTCAAACTGTCTTCCGGACGGCCAAGATGACCTTCCAGATGCCCACGTGTTCCCCGAAGGCTTTCCACACCGATTCGGGGAACACGTGGTCCGATAGCTTGGCAGGTCTGGCCTCAACGTTCGGCCGCATAGGCGCTTCCAAAAAGGCAGGGGGGCGGCGGTGATTCGCCGTAGGCGTCTTCGATAATACTCAACGAGGGGCCACACAAGTGTGACAAAACACGTGAAATACGCCTTCCACGCCACACTTTGAGTCCTCTTGGAGTCTTCTTGCTATGCTCACCTCACTTGCAACAAGTCGGTCATGTATTGACCTGGGCTGTATTCAGAGAGCGTGCAATCGAGGAGGGGGAGGGGGAGAAGGGAAGGATGGGGTGGGGGAGAGGGGAAGGGGAAAGGGAGGAAATGGAGTCTGCGGAAGAGAAAAATGAAGCAAGAGGAAGGGGAGTGACAGGTGGAGCAAGGTCGACAGATTCCACTGCCCATCTGTCTGCTGCTCCTCTTACTTCTCCTCCTCATCCTCATCATTTTCACCATTATCATAATCCTTCTCGTGCTCATCATCATTACCCATGCCGCCTGGCATAGCATCGACATTCGTCTCCTCACCTGTTGATGCCCCCCCACCACCACCCCGCCGACTCCCCTACATACCTCGCCTGCTCCCCCGATCCCACCCAAGGAAGATCTGCCTGACGAGTCGCCATCTACCTGGCACCCCGCCACCAAGAATTCGCATCCGGACTGGAAACGCTACTCGTGTAATCCAATATTGTCGCGAAAACAATTGAGGACGCCTCGTGTGTTGCGATGGATGCTTGGGCTGCGCTCGTCCTGTGTACCACATCGTCCCCCCGAAGCCTCATGCACGCTCTGATCCTTCGCTTGGCACCCCCTCTGGGATCTAAATTCGGGTCGGGCGAAAGGGGGGGATAGCAAAGGGGGGGTTTGAGAATCAGCTCACGTAGCTGATTTTCCCGGCGCCTCCCGGCGCCGGAGGCGGCTATGTATCGAGGAATGGGCCCCTCGGTGGGGCTGAAACCAGCTGCATGCAGCAAATTTCGCACCCCCCCCTTACCCAATCCCCCCCTTATGTCCGGCCCGATGAATGCGTGCTGCTTTCCTCCGTGAGGAACTCGCCGTCACCGGTGACCATCGTGTCGAAGAACTGCCACCACACCTGCGAAGGGTGCCGACGTCGGCTCGAGGGCGGCCGGGGCCGGGCACGCGATCCGATTGCCGATGGAGCGATGACGCATCCACCCTCCTCCTGCGCCTCCTCATCGGCCTCCTGGACCTCGTCACCCCCAGAACAATCACGATCCTTCTCGTCCTCCTGCTCCTCACTCGCAACCATATCAAAGCCACCTCCTTTCTCCTTGTCCTCCTCCTTACCACCCTCCTTTTCCTCGCAGTCCTCCTTACCATAATCATCCTCGTGATCGTCATCATCATCACCACCCAGCCCTCTGACGCGGAATGACGACGCCCGTTTGGTCTCGGCTTAGTTGAAGGCGTTGGATCGGGTACCATTGGATAAGGAGAAGGAATTCATGGTCTGGATGCGGGCGGAACGTCAACTGAGGTTGGCCATGGATGCGTCCGCTGCCCTCATCAGACACGGAAACATACAAGGTCTGAACTTCCCGGGCATGTTCCTCAATGAACGGCCCCACCGTGACCTGGCAACTCGACCAAAAATTCATTTCTCCACACTCGCGGGAAAGATGTGTATCTTTTTCTGGTGACCCCCCGGCAAATCAACGCCTGGAAAATAAGGGCAACCCGGCATCGCTGCCAAATCCAACTTCGCGCACGCCCTTGCCCATCGGACTGTTGAAGGCCGCACGGAAATTGCCCGAGCAATTGTAGCAGCCTCTCTCCGACATCGGGGCATCGCCCCCTTAGCTGCACTTGCCTGCCGCGCCTCCTTCCTGACGGCCCGCTCTGTATCCACCGCGGCTTGTTCCGCAGCGTTCGGGGCATACATGGTCGCCCCCACTGACGGTACTCTCGCACCTGCAGTTGCCATTGCCTCTGCCCCCCCCCCCCCCCCTATTGGAGCAGGTCCTGACAAGATAACCGCGACCACGCCCCGCCCAGGGCACTGCGGGCGTTTCCCTTTCCTTGTGCCTTCGTCAGCGGCGCAGACATCGTGTCAGTCAGCCAGCGCTTCGCCATCTTCAAAATTAACTTCGCCGTTCCACCAGTTTCCACCAGTCGTCGCAACAGCCTTCGCCCCCCAGTGCGATTGTCAGTATTCGCTCTCGATGACGCGCCCAAAATCCATGGCATCGCTGTTCCTCGCGTTCGCCTCGGACCTTTCCTTCGTAACGCAGTAGTTGGATTTGGCATATATCTCTTTGATTTGCCCGCAGTTAGCGAACCTGACGTTTTGAAACAGTTCTGCTGTCAGTCTCCGAGCCAAAAACGTTGCCCGCGTGAGTCACGATGCCTCGAAGCGCGGTGCCCTGAATAGCAAAGGCAACGACTGCGCAGGCCCACTCCCCTTTAGGGTTCTTATATCAGCATCCCACTGCGCCAACTGAGCGTCCAGAAAGTCAACCATTTTTTGGTTTGTTGGAAATGCATCGCCAGGAGCATTTTGTGGGGTAGCGTAACTCTGGTGACGGCGGAGCACAACTTGTATACACGTGGATGAGTCCTTCGCTGTCACGCAGTCCGTCTTCAGTTTGCCCATGGGTCCTGTGCCTTCCAGGTTGTCAGAGGATGTACCACCTGCCCTCGCCTAGATGGTGCAGGTGCTTGGTAGCGAACTCGCTGTCACCCCGTGTCGATTTCGTATGTGAGTGTCTGGGCAGCCCTTACCACATTAGGCTTGCATCGGCCTAAAATTCAACGATCGAGCCATGGCGCACTCGTCTGGTTGATTGTGAGCCGCCGCCCAAAGTCTCTAATCTGAAATTGAAGTTGTTGCACTGCCGTTCTTCTTGCGTTCCAGCGCCAACCTGCGCGAGCGCATAACTGAGACCAGTCCGGGACCTGGAAACTGCCTTCTGGAACCCAAATCCGGGAACCTGGGAAACTGGCCGCATACCGAAATCGGCCAAAACCAATCAGGAACCCCGGAACGGGAAATCGGAACCCAGAACGGGGAACCCGAGAACCAGGCCGCCTACCGGAATCGGCGGTTAACTTTCGCCAAATCGTTCAATAGTGAGACCGATACTAGAATCGTTAGTGACTTCGGTAATGTTAGGGATATTGAGATCGATTGTGAGATCGATAGTGAGATCGATAGTGGGATCGATAGTGAGGACATAGTGATAAGGTCGATCGTGAGACCGATAGTGAAGTCGATTCAGTGAGATCGATACTGAGATCGATCAAGAGATCGCTCGTGCGGTCTATAGTGATATTGACTGTGAGATCGATCGTGAGATCGATCGTGAAATTGATTGTGAGATCGATAATGGGATCGATTGAAAATTAGTAATGAGATCGATGGTGAGACCGATCTAGCAGCAGATCGACCAGGAACCCGGATTTCCGGGAACCCCGCCGCCCACCGTGATCGGCCGGAACCAGCAACCGGGAACCGGGGAATCTGGAACTGGGAACCTGGGAACCTGGCCGCCCACCGAAATCTGCCGGGAACGTCTGCCAAATCTGTCAACCCCCGCTTGGACCCTTTCAGTGCAAGCACTGATTGGAGAAGAACCTACTTTTTGATGTGTGCATCGTGGTATTCTGTTCCAGGTCCACAGCCTTCTCTTAAACCCCATTCATACCGCTTCCGGTCAAAATTATTCGGCGAACTCTGCTCAGCAGCAACGAGTTAAGACTGTCCACCACCTGGAACATCGTACACGCATCTTCCCGATCTACCTGACGCATTCCGCCGTTAATATTGGCGTTGATGACCTCCTGCGTTGCTGGCATGATTTCCCTTGGGCGCTACTGCGGCATAGTTGTAGCATCTGCTGCTGTACGCCTAGCTGCAGCTTGCGGAACCTACCTGGACTGAGGCTCAAACATGCCACACGGTCTGCTGGCGCGTGAAGCTGAGCTGTGGCGTCGTTTACTCCTGAACCCACTGTTTGTCCTGGCACGGCCACGTTAACCTCGGTACCGTGTTCCATGTTCTAGAACACAGCTTTAAAGGTCGATCGCAAGCAAGCGTCAAGCACGTGTCAAATAGATTCAGCCCGTCTGGGCAACTAAGCCTTCTAAGATAGAACCAAGCGGCGACATAAGAATCTAAACCTTGCCCCCGTCGCGGTGTCAGCGTCCTTCTCACCCTCCTCTTGCATCTTCCTGCCTCGTCCGACTCCTCCTGGCAAAAGTAGCAGCCATGCTGAGCCTCGCGGTGCACCGATCTGCCAGCGTGAGAGCCAGAGATCGAACAGTGCATATCGGGATACGCAGCTCTGAGCTCGTCGAAGACGTTGCGCCTGGCCGCCAGCAAAGGGGAGTATCCTCTGCCTCCCCCCTCCTCCTCGTGTTCCTCTTCCTGCTCCTGCTCTTCCTGTTCCTCCTCCTCCTCCTCCTCCTCCTGATCATCATCATCATCATCATCATCATCATCAGCATCATCATCATCAACAACAACAACAACGTCATCATCATCATCGTCATCATCATCATCAGTAGCAGCATCAGCATCATCATCATCATTATCATCATCATTATCATCATTATCATCATAATCGTCGTCGTCGTCGTCGTTGTCGTCGTCGTCGTCGTCGTCGTCCGTCCTCCTCCGTTTCCTCCTTCTCCTCCACTTCTTCGCCTTCCCCCCTCATCCTCCACATCTTCGCCGTCCCCCTAATCCTCGTAACCTTCCTCGCCTCCTTCCCCGCTACAACCTCACGATGACCCGGAATCCCTCCGGACCCACTCCGAACCAACCAGAGCACTCCTCCTCATCCTCCTGTTCCTGCCCCCGCTCCTGCTTATACTGCCGCGGCTGAAGCTGATCCTCTTGTCTGCTGTCCTCGAGGTCCGCCTCGGCGCCGCCTACACGCGCCCCCAACAATCCAACATGTACGCTGAGAAGGGGGGGCGAACGGTGTTCAAACTGGGGATCTCGCGCAAGACCACCTCCGACCACACGGCTCGAAGAATACGTCTGTACACGGATGGAAAGCGGCTCCTTCAAAATAATATGAATATCGCCCTGGTATTCCACACAGATTGCCCGGCATCTCAAAACTATGCAACACATGCACGGATAAGGGGCGGTCCTTTTTCAAGGTGCAGCTCTCGCGGCATACATCCTCAGAACGTACGACGAGAACTCGACTTGAGCCACGGCTGCACGGATGGAGCGGCGGCTCCTTTTCAAAGCGGGGTGTCGCTGGGCATTCCCCTGCACTGCCTGGCCCCACCTTGTCGCAGTGCTTGCAGCTCGCACGCTGCAGTGCCGCTTCCATTTCAAAACAGAGCTCCTGCCCGCATCGCGGGCCCACAGAGCGACGTCTTGAAAGTCGGGAGGGGCGCTTCGCGCATGAAAGTGCACCATTGCAAAAGCCTAGGAGGAGGGAGCTTGGGACGGGGACGGCACGAGGTATTACAGCATCGCTGGTGTTCATTCGGTGCGTATGGTGCTCCTCCTCATCATCATCGTCTTCCGCAGCAGCAGCGGCAGCAGCATCAGCATAAACACTGCCAGCATCATCATCGCAGCATCACCAGGACCCGCATCAGCAGCATCATCATCAACCTCGTCAATAACATCGCTATCCTCATCACATTCACCAGATCAACCGTCATGATCAACAGTATCAACGTCACCATCATAATCATCGTCACCATCAGGTGAGGCGTTGCCCGCCGGCGCTCCCACAAGGGGAGCAGCCGCCTAGCCCCCCCCCCCACAGCGGCAGGCAAGTCCAGGATTCTTCCGAAACTCCCTGGACTTGCCTGTCGATGTGGGGAAGGCTTCATACAGTCGGGGCGTTGACCTAAGGAACCCTAGATAAGGAACGAGGCCCCTTTTTTCCATAAGTTAACCTTCGATTTCCTGTCGAAGACATAAGGAAAGCCTGAGGCAAGCTGTGAAACACTTAAGGAACGCGGAGCCCCTCCCCAACCAAAAGGGTTCCTTCTTCAGGGCCCCGACTGTAATCCCCCAGCGCCGCCTGCTGGCGCCTCCAAATCTAGCGCCCTCGGCGGGCGCCCGCGGCACTGCCTGCACCGGGCCTCCCGTCTTGCTTCCGTGCATGGCTGGAGCCGCTCCACATCTGCCAGCCTCCCGAGTAGGCAATCGAAGGTTTCCCGCCCACGCGGTGGTTTTTCCCTTCTGTCTGCGCTTGCTCATCTAGCCAGCGCAGCCTGCAAGCCTCGCACTGCGCCGCCAGCGTTCTCGCACACGTGCTCCAGGTTCGCCCGGCCCGCGTGGCTCTGAATGCGGCCATCGTAGCTCAACGCGTGGCCCTCGTAGCTGAGGCCGGTGGCTGTCGAGGTTCTTTTCCTGGCCCTTGCAGCTCAGCCCGTCGCCCCGCTAGCTCTGCGGGAAGCTTTTGGAGTGCCTCCTGTGGCCCGCGTAGCGCTTGTTGTGGCCCTCGTAGCTGAGCAGGTGGCCCTCGTAGCAGGGCTGGTGGCTGAAGGTCTGCTGGTGGCCTTGCAGTTCAGCCCGTCGCCCTGGTAGCTCTGCTTTTGACCCTCGCGGCTCAGTTGGTCGCCCTCGCGGCGGTTCAGCTGGTGGTCCTCGTAGCCCTGCTTGTGGCCCTCGTGGCTCAGCTGGTGGTCTTCGTAGCCCTGCCTGCGGCCCTCGGAGCTGAGCTCGCGGTCCTCGTAGCTGTGGCGGTGGCTCTTGTAGCTGCGCCGATGGTCCTTATGGCTCAGGTTGTGGTCCTCGAAGGTCTGATGGTGGTCCTTCTAGCTCCGATGGTAGCTCGCGAAGCTGAGCAAGTGGCCACCGATGTTCTGCTCGTGGCCCCCATGGGTCAGCTGCTTGTCCACGTAGCTCAGCAGATGGCCCTCGTAGCTGAGCCGGTGGCCCTTGAAGCTCTGCTGGACGCCCGTGTTGCCCAGCAGGTTGCGCTAGTAGCTCTGCGGGTGGTTTTCTCAGCTCTGCATCTGCTCTGCGTAGCTGAGTTCGTGGCTCTTGTAGCTCAGGTGCAGGCTGCCGTCGTAGTTCAACAAATGGCTCACGAAGTCCTGCTGGTGGCCCGCGTAGCTCTGCGGGTGGTCCTGGTAGCGCTGCTGATGTCTCTCGTATCTCTGCTGGCGTTCCTCGTAAGTCCGCTGGTGGTCGTCCTAGTTCTGCGTGTTGTCATCGAAGTTCTTCGCGTGGCTGTCGTAGCTCTGCGGGTGGCCCAAGTAGCTCAGTTGGCCGCCTGTGGGGCTCTGCGAGTGCCCAACGGAGCACTGGTCGTGGTGCCGAAAGTTCGGCTGGTAGCCACGTGGCTCCTTCTTTTGGCCTGCACTGCTGTGCCCGCGGCCCTCGTAGCGCTGCTGGTGGCTCTCGTTGCTGCGCTCGTAGTCCTCGTAGCTCTGGCTGTGGCCGTGCTAGTTCTGCTGGTAGCCAGCCCTCGTGGCTGCGCTGGTGGCCCTCGTCGGTCCTGCACTGGTCTTCGTAGTTATGCGTGTTGCCCCTCTTCGGGTGACACCCAGACCTCCTTCTGTTCGTCCCCGCAGTCCGAATCGAAGTCGTCGGCGGTCAGGTCATAATACTCCGTTTCCCCTCGTGTAGCACCTCTCCCGTGCGTGCTCTCGTATAGCACGTCTTCCTTGTATTTTTCTGCGCATACTATCGTATAACATATCTGACATCTGTGTCGTACTTGGTGTCGTGTTTGTCGCAGCAGGCATGGCACTTGCTGTAGTTAGTGGCGTCGTATGTGGCATCCGTCATGGCGGCACCCATGGGAGACATGTCATTCCGTCCGGCTATAGGGACAAGCCGCAAACTGTAGCCAGTCATGCGTGCCGCAGCTCGCAGAGGCCTGTGCCCCAGAAGGCCCGCCACGAACATCTCGTAGCCGATTCTCCTCGCACACGTCCTGGCTGTTGGCGCCCGTTGTGCTGCCATCGCGCGGCGGCGGCCAGCAGGCTAAGGTCGGCCCAGGTGCCCTGGGGCCCCGATCGCGGGGGATGGATCCCGCATGTGGCCTTCCTCCCCCTCCTCCTCCCCCCTCCTCCTCCTCCTCCTCCTCCTCCTCCTCCTCCTCCTCCTCCTCCGCCTCCGCCTCCTCCTCCTCCTCCCTCCTCCCTCCTTCCCTCCTGCTTCCCCGCTGCGCCTGATGAGCATGCACCCGGCGGGCCCAGCCTCGCGGGGCGCGGCCGCAGCGGCGGCCGTGGGCTGGGCTGCGGCAGGCGACGCTGTAGGGACGCCAGGGGGAAGCGAGGACGACAACGACGAGGCGAAAGGGGAGGAGCACGAGGGAAGAAGGAGAACGAGAGCGGGGGGTGAGGAGGAGGTAGAGGGGGGGAGGACGGGGACGAGAAAGGGTAGGGGGAGAAGGGGGGGAGGGGTAAGGAGAGGGGAGCCGTGGGAGAAGAAGCGGGAGCAGGGAAGACAAAGGGAGATGAGACGCGGGAGCAGGGGAGGAGGAGAAGCTGGGGAGGGAGAGTAGACGGAGGTTGGACGGAGGGAGAGGAAGAGGAGGAAATAACTAAGAGAGAAGGAAGAGGGGGAGGAAGGTTAGCAAGAGGAGGATGGCACAAGGCGTGGAGTGCTCCAGGAGCATCATCATCATCATCATCATCATCATCATCACCATCACCATCACCATCACCATCATCATCATCATCATCATCATCAGAATCATCATCTGCATCAGCATCATCATCATCAGCAGCAGCATCCTCCTCCTCCTCCTCCTCCTCATCATCATCATCATCATCATCACCATCTGCATCAGCATCATCATCATCATCAGCAGCAGCAGCATCCTCATCATCATCATCAGCAACATCAACAACAAGCGCCTGCACTCAAAGAATATTCAGCTTCACCAGCACGACACCCTCCCGCGTTTCTGTATGATGATTACCATATCGCCGAGGCTACCTCGCAGCTCCGAGCATCCCCCCTAGGAAGCACGATGCTAGCAAGGCCCCATGCGGGGCAATCGATTGCCGCCGAGCGCTCTGCGACGGACCGTAAGTTCCTCTTCGTCAAACCTGAAGCCTTCAATGTGGCCCTGACGTCGAGGACAAAGAACCAACAAGCTTGTCCTTATCATCCTTACCTTCCTCCTCGTCAGTACCCTCCCCCTCATCATCGTCAGAATCCTCTGCGAATCACCGTCGCTTCCACCGACGTCGCCGAGATTTCAACAGAGAAGCGCCAGAGGCTCACCCCGTCCCAGGGGCCCCTGAAGCTAGCTAGCAAGCGTGACAGCGTGCAACAATTTGCACGCAATCGTTTGGTGCAACATCCTGAATATAAAAAACTATGGTTACGCGTTCACTTTATGATACGAATTATGCAGGTTTCAGTGGATAGAAGGCGTTTCAATACAACGCGTCTAGGCAGGAAACAGCGCGAGACCCTTTACTGTTGCAGTCCTCATCCGCTTCTCCAACCTCGCCTCGTTTGCGGTTGTGGGTAAGACCAGCAGTCTCTCGCAGCCCGCCATGTTATTGACTGGGCAGATATGGTGCAGGGAGTGTCTGTATTAGCACCGGGGGTTGGAAGACCCATGGGCTAGTGGCCGAACGTTCTTGCGGGGTGGGGCAGGAAGCGGCAAAGACACTATGAAGCGGCTGGCTAACTGCCACCCCCCGATGTTTTGGCCAAACGTTGACCCTTGGGTGGCCCTTGGGTGACCATTGGGTGATCCTGTTCGGCCCCTTTTCACTCGAGCCGGGCGACCGCCCAAACCCCCCCCACCCCCAGCCACCCATCACAAACACAAGTAAGTAGGAGCTTCTGTGTCAAGGGCCCCAGCGTACCAGCAGCCAAAGCCACGACCATTCCACGGGCCAGCCCAACATCATCATCATCATCATCATCATCATCATCATCATCAGCATCATCACCATCATCATCTTCATCACCATCATCATCAGCAGCATCAGCATCGCCATCAACATCGTCATCATCATCATCAGCATCATCATTATCACCATCATCATCACCATCATCACAACCACCATCACAGGAACCCCACACGAGACAAGAGCAGGCACCATCGAGCAGGGCCCCCCGCCAAGAGAAAGGGGGACGAGCCAAATGGACGAGCTCGAAGTGCCGTCGTTGCCAGCGCAGCGCAGGAGAAACAGGGAAAGGAAGAGGAGACGAGCAAGAACAAACAACGGAAACAAGAGGACAACGAGAGCGACAGGCAAGAACTATATCAAGACATTGAAAACCGCACGAGGGAGGTACAGGGCCCAGGAAGCTCCGAGAGCGAACCGTCCCTGACGCCCCCAAGGGCAAAGGACGCCGCCCCCGCGGCTAGGGGCCAGCGCGGGTAAAGAAAAAAAACTAAGAACATGCAATGCAGCATTGTGACCGCACAAGCAAACTCGGAACGACCTCACGAGGCTCGGCCGAACCGAAGTGGAGCTCAGAGCTCGAAGCCACGGTGGATCAGTGCAGTCGCATTTGTCATCAACGTCATCCGGCGGCTGCTGGTCGGGGACGTAGTCGGAGCCTGTATGGTGTCAGGCTCCTGCAGTTCGGCGAGCAGGTCGGCGAGCCCCTCGGTACGGGAGTCGGCGAGCTGGTCGGTGCTGGAGTCGGCGATCTGGTCGGCATGAGAGTCGGTGATCTGGACGATGCTGGAGTCGGCGAGTTGATCGGTGCGGGGATCGGTGACCAGCGGTGCTGGAGTCGGTGACCTGGTCGGCGAAGGAGCAGGCAAGCGATTCTGGTCTGTGCTGGTGTCGCGGCTGGTGCCGGTGCTGGTGTCGCTGTAGGTGTCGATGCGGATGTCGACGCCCGTTGGAGTGCGAACGACGAACGAAGTGCCGACGCAGGTGCGAGTGCTGGTGTCAATGACGGCGTCGATGCTGATGTCGGTGATGGTGGCGATGTTGGCGATGATCAGCATAGTCACCATTCTTCTCCACCACCTCCACCTCCTCATCATCTTCATCCTCCTTACAGCAAGCATCATCAACATCATCCTCGTCACCACCACAATCATCAGCAGCAGCACCACCACCATCACCAACATAATGATCAGCATCATCATCATCAGCATCATCATGATCACCATCATCATCATCATCATCATCATCCTCATCATCACCAGTATCAGCGTGACAATCACCATCAGCATCACCATCACCATCATCAGCATCATCATAATTAGCATCATCATCATCATCATCATCATCATCATCATCATCATCATCATCATCATCATCGTCATCGTCATCATCAGTCATCAACATCGTCGTCGACGACGTCGTCGTCTCCTCCTCCTTCTCATCCTCCTCCTCCTCCTCCTCCTCCTTCCCCTCCTTCTCCCTACTTCCTCCCTCTCCTCCACCCCTTCTACACTCCCTCCTCCTGCCCCGCAGAGGGGGGACAATTCCCGACCCCACGAAGACTGTCCTCCTCCGCCTCCTCCTCCTCATCATCATCATCATCCGCAGCAGCATCCGCCTCCTCCTCGGAGGAGGGAAATGAAGAGGATAAGAAAGGGGGTCCTGGTCCTCCTTAATCCTGAATAAGGAGGCGAGATGGAGGAAGAGGAGGAGGAGGAGGGAGGGGGGGAGGATGGAGGGAGGAGGACGAGGGATGAGGGATGAGGGCTGAGGATTGAGGTGTGAGGGGGGAGGGGGAGGAGGAGGAGGAGGAGGAGGAGGAAGGAGGAGGAGCAGGAGGAGGAATAAAAACATTAACAGTAAGCAAAGACATAACAGTAATAATATGAATGCGAATAATGGGAATGGCAATACTAAGAATGATGATAAGAATCAGATCACTCATCATATACCAATCATAAGGTTGAAGCATTCATTGCAACGAGAACAATACTAATACGAATACGGTCACCGTGCTACTGCAGGGAGCGCCACACACAAGGAACGAAAGGGCATTCTGCTGGCCGCGGCGAACCTCGGCCGAGAATCGGCTCCCCGACCTAGATTCAGGGGGACGTAAGACCTGGGTACAGGGGACTCGGAAATCCCAGACGAGCTCGTTAAAAAAATGACGAGGCCGATCCTGCATTTTGACGAGGCCTCCCGCTGCAGACATCCCACGAAACTCCTCCTCGTCAAAATCCGAAGCGCGGTCGTCCAAAAACGATGGCGAACCCGAGTCCTGGCAAACCCGGGTCTTACGCTCCCCCGACCTAGATCTGAGGATCGGCCCGGGAACCAGAGCCCCTCCGGAAACCAGAGCGTTGGCGGCTTCTCAAAGGGAGGCTCCTTCTTAGAAGGCGCGGGCCTCACGAAGCCTTCCCCCCTCCCCCTACGGCAGGTTCGTGTCGTGACGACCCCGGCGTTGGTTTCTGACACCGCGTGGATCGTTCAACCTTGAACGATCGGCAGCTTTCCCATCGCCCGATCGTTCCATGTAGGCCGATTCTGGGCCACTGGCGGCGTGCAACCTTGAACGTCCGCGGCGGGGTCGCCGCCAGTCGACACGACGTGAACCTACCGTACCCCCCTCTGCGCGTGGCCGAGAGGAATCCGTACTTCAGCGTCCTGTACCTCAGACACCCGGCGCCTCGACTAGGACTCGAGGCGGCCGGAGTGCTGCCACTTCGTGGCCTCTGGAGGTTGGTTCTGGGCCACTGGGCCATCAGAAGACGCCTTGTCATGAAGAAGCTGCCCCGAGGAAGGAGTCGAGGGGTCCTGGAGCCCACGCGTCGACAACAGCGAAGCGCCGTATGTCTGGGAACCTGCGCGGCGACAGCGCGTGGAGATCAGCAAAGGAGGGGTATACATGCGATGAGCCTCAACGTAACGACCGCACCGCGCCGTTGCTTCAATCATCCAAATGGAACAGCATGCGCGGTGATCGCCACGTTCGCTGCGCATGGGAGTGCACGCTTTTTCCTTGAGCACGGCGACGGGTCGCAGTCACCAGATCCATGGCAGCGGGGCGCATCTGCCTGAAGATGGCCACATTTTGCGGCGACGAGCAGTAGACTGGTGTTCCAAGGTATGGGGGTACATAGGCACCAAGGGCTCCCAACTTCGCGCTTCGCGCTCCGCGAAGCGCGAAGCGCGAATAACTTCGCGCCCTCGCGCCGCCCCCCCAAAGGGAGAAAAGGAGGACGAGGAGGAGGGGGAGAAGGAACGAGGACCGCGAAGCGCGAATAACTTCGCGCCCTCGGGGGAGCCCTAAAGGCACACACACACACAAGCACACCACAATGCGGAGGCGGCGCGCCCGGAAGGAGAGCGAGGAGGAGGAGGCCCTCTCAGAAGGCGGCGGGGCTTCTCAGAAGCCCTCGGGCCCTCGGAGAGGTCGTCCGTGTCTTCGGGGAATGCTCAAGAAGCTTTTCAAGAGGCTGGGGGACTTCCAAGCCTTCTGAGAAGGCCCGCCCCTTCTCACCTCCCCCCCGGGCTCGCCGCCGACACGGGGATACATGGAGCGCGCTTCTGTATGTTCGGCGATAGTGGGCATGATAGGGGGGGGGGAGGGGGGGAGGAGGAAGCCGGGGGGGGTATAATGCAACGCCTCCCCCCGCCGTGCGCACGGCGGCAGTGCCCGGAGCGCACTGGGGGGGGAGGGGCGTTACGTCAGGGGGGGGGGCGGGGGCTGTAATGCCCATTCTGCCCCCAGCAAGAAAGAGACGCGCTCTCGATGTGGCTTCAGCGACGGCTGCCCTGCCTGCCCCGCGCCACCACGGCCCCCTCCTCCTCCGCCCTCCGCGCCTCGACCTCCAGGAAGCGCGCGCCGCTCCGCGCTGCTTCGCGCAGCCTCTGGGGGTCGGCGCGGAGCCTGGGGACGACAGGGGAGGGCAGAGAGCATCCAAAGATCAGTTCGCATACTTTCGGACGTGTGGGGTGCATGGGCCTGTGTATATGGGACGCACAGAGACGTACCAATACTAGATGTCCTCCTTGGAGACGCGCGCCCGACCCGAACATAGAGTATACCCATCTCGTAGTATATCGTTTCCCGAGCGGTGTGGCCAGAAAGCGCCCGCCACGACGCATGAACTATAAGATTTCCCGGTGCGCGCGTCGCCCCTAGGGGGGCGACGCACATATAGTACAAGTATGTTGGCTGACGCCGATGTATATATGCGAGTATAGGTATGTGTATGCGTGACCAGGGGGTTCATTCCACAACAGATGATGCGCCTATTGCTATGTGAACGCTCGAAAACATGTACAGCCATCGGCCACCAGACATGCACAAGCAAGCAAACACGTGAACAACAATATGCACACAGTGGAACACCACACGCAACAACTGCAAAAGCAACAGACACAGCACCAGCAAAAGCAACAGCAGCAACAGCAGCAACTACAACAGCAACAACAACAACAACAACAACAACAACAACCACAACAACAACAACAGCAACAGCAACAGCAACAGCAGCAGCAGCAGCAACAACAACAATAACAACAACAAGGCGAGAAAGGATTCCTGGCACCTTGCCCCCATGGCACCGGCACCCAGGACTCTCCTGGCTTGGCGAGAACGGAACCCTGATACCCCGCCCCCAATTGCGGGGGGGGGAGGCGCAACCAACCGCAACAGCGCAACTTCTGGTCCTACCATATTTACCTAACAGCTCTTGCTGATAGGTCTCTAGTGGGGTCAAAAGAGAGCATCATGACTCCCCAGGGGGGTCTGGGCAGATGCCGGACGGGTGCCCCGGGAATCCGGGGACTCCTTCTTTAGCCAACAGTAACGCACTTCGTGGTCTTCGAGTTCCCAGAACTCCATTCCTGGGCATGATTTTGAATGCCCGGAGCCAACTGTAGGCCACTTCGTGGTCTTCGAGTTCCCAGAACTCCATTCCTGGGCATGATTTTGAATGCCCGGAGCCAACTGTAGGCCACTTCGTGGTCTTCGAGTTCCCAGAACTCCATTCCTGGGCATGATTTTGAATGCCCGGAGCCAACTGTAGGCCACTTCGTGTTCTTCGAGTTCCCAGAACTCCATTCCCGGGCCACATTTTGAATGCTGAGGCAGGCTGAGGCTGAGGCTGAGGCAGGCTGAGCTGAGGCAGGCTGAGGCTGAGGCTGAGGCTGAGGCTGAGGCAGGCTGAGGCTGAGGCAGGCAGGCTGAGGCTGAGGCTGAGGCTGAGGCTGAGGCTGAGGCTGAGAGCTGAGGCTGATGGCTGAGGCTGAGGCTGAGGCTGAGCTGAGGCTGAGGCTGAGGCTGAGGCTGAGGCTGAGGCTGAGGCTGAGGCTGAGGCTGAGGCTGAGGCTGAGGCTGAGGCTGAGGCTGAGGCTGAGGCTGAGGCTGAGGCTGAGGCTGAGGCTGAGGAGGCAGGCTGAGGCTGAGGCTGAGGCTGATGCAGGCTGAGGCTGAGGCAGGCTGAGGCTGAGGCCGAGGCTGAAGGCAGACTGAGGCTGAGGCTGAAGCAGGCTGAGGCTGAGGCTGAGGCAGGCTGAGGCTGAGAGGCAGGCTGAGGCTGAGGCAGGCTGAGGCTGAGGCTGAGGCTGAGCTGAGGCAGGCTGAGGCTGAGGCAGAGGAGGCTGAGGCTGAGGCTGAGGCTGAGGCTGAGGCTGAGGCTGAGGCTGAGGCAGGCTGAGGCTGAGGCAGGCTGAGGCTGAGGCTGAGGCTGATGCAGGCTGAGGCTGAGGCAGGAGGCTGAGGCTGAGGCTGAGGCTGAGGCGAGGCAGGCTGAGGCTGAGGCAGGCTGAGGCTGAGGCTGAGGCTGAGGCTGAGGCTGAGGCTGAGGCTGAGGCTGAGGCTGAGGCTGAGGCAGGCTGAGGCTGAGGCTGAGGCTGAAGGCCGAGGCTGAAGGCAGACTGAGGCTGAGGCTGAAGCAGGCTGAGGCTGAGGCTGAGGCAGGCTGAGGCTGAGGCTGAGGCAGGCTGAGGCTGAGGCTGAGGCTGAGGCAGGCTGAGGCTGAGGCAGGCTGAGGCTGAGGCCGAGGCTGAAGGCAGACTGAGGCTGAGGCTGAAGCAGGCTGAGGCTGAGGCTGAGGCAGGCTGAGGCTGAGGCTGAGGCAGGCTGATGCTGAGGCAGGCTGAGGCTGAGGCTGAGGCTGAGGCAGGCTGAGGCTGAGGCAGGCTGAGGCTGAGGCCGAGGCCGACGGCAGACTGAGGCTGAGGCTGAAGCAGGCTGAGGCTGAGGCTGAGGCTGAGGCAGGCTGAGGCTGAGGCTGAGGCAGGCTGAGGCTGAGGCTGAGGCAGGCTGAGGCTGAGGCTGAGGCTGAGGCCTGAGGCTGAGGCTGAGGCAGGCTGAGGCTGAGGCAGGCTGAGGCCGAGGCGGGCAGACTGAGCCTGAGTTGGGTTCGTCTGGGGGGTCAGGTCTATCAGGGGGCCTCAAATCCACGACGGAGGGCCCGTCAAGAGGGTCGCAACAGAGGGGCCGTCAAGAGGAGGGGCCGCCAGACTGAGTTTTTTCGTAAGCTCTTGATTCGCAAACGGCCGAAACCAAATCCCGTCAACGAAAAAAATTGTTCCGAATTTCGGTTGGCAACTACTGCCATAGGAATTGGAAGTGAGCTTACATTCCTCAAAACGCACCCAGATTGGAAATGTAAGACATGCGTTATGAAACCGCCATTGGTCAACTGATAGCCAATTGCACCACATAGGAAGACCGTGCTCCTACGAAATGCGCGTCGAAACCAATCTTCTACACAGCATACTTGAACGGAACGGCAGACCCCAACAGCCACGATTATTGATAATGGTAGAAAGGGTGGACTGGGAGGGGAAAAGGCGGTTGCGAGACATAGCCAGGAGAACACGGGGGGGGGGGAAGCTGGCAAAGGGAGGATTGCAACCAAATAGTCTGCACATCACTGGGGCCCCTGGACTGGAAAGGGGGCTGTTAGATCTGAAGGAGGAAGGGTTGGGGAGAGGAAGGGTCAAGGGCGGCATCGAGGAGAGAAGGGGCACGGTGAGCGAGCAATGCTACGCGCTGGATGGGGCAAGAACAGCACCACGTAGGTTGTGGAGGGAACAAGGCGAGGAGGTTCAGGAGGATACAACGGCATCGACGACAGACTGAGGAACACGAGGGGGTGGTTGAGAATGAGGCTGGGCATCAAGAGGGTGATGGTGAGCAGAGGTCACAACAACGCGCTCGGGATTTGCAGGAGGAGGAGCATGAGATAGCACGCGGCCATAGATCAACACAAACGTTTGGGCGGGACCCGAGGGGGACAGTACGACCATCCATACTAGGTTTCACACAGGAGCATCGCAATACCTCAAACAAGCGCGACGACCCCTAATATGAGAAAGCTGCGCGGAGACAGAAACTAGACGATTGACTTGTTTATTCTCGTGTTGCTGCTGCTGCTCCCCCCCTCCTGGCGTTCATCCTACTGCTCTTACCACTGCTCCTTGCGTTACCCTTGCTGGTATTGATCCTCAGACTCCTCATCTTCATATGCTCATCGTGGTCCTCCTCCTTCCTCACCTCCTCCGCCCTCCAACCCTCCACTCAGCCAATCTCAAGCTTTACGTGCATGCAAATCGCATTGCCAGGAACCGTCAGAACTGGAGACCCTCACCCAGAGGTGTTTTCAAGGATGGCTCCAATGAGCCTCGCCCTCATCGAAAAAAGAGGGCCTCGAAAACACGCCGACAACCGCGCGAGGTGAGCACGCCCGCACCGACTCCAGAATCCGAAGGCGACTGAACTGAACCAAGAGAGAGGCAACGGCAACGATAACACTGGTGACGACGAACCTTCCAACATATTTCACCTGTCGACGGGCTTCGTGCACACTCGACAGAGCGCGCCCCACTCGTGCCCGCAAACGGGCACCCCACCAGCACCTAGCACGGGTGCTGCCCCGAAGAAGCTGTTTCGCCCTACTTGCGCAAGCGCCTCCTCTTGCCGCCAACCTGGCCGCTCACGCCGTCGCCGTTCTCGTCCGCCTCTTTCGCCGCCATCGTCGGCGCTGCCGCCGAGCCCGACAGCGAAGACGCCGCCTTCTTGGCGGGCCCGCCCGCCTCGCCGTCCTCCTGCACCCTCTTGGAGCCGCTGGCCTTCGGGACCTGGCCGACGACATCCTTGCTCGCGCCCTCCGCCAGACTTTCCAGCTCGGTCCAGAACGAGGACGGCACGTCCGCGAGCTTGGGGTTCGCTTTCTGCTGGCTCACGTACTGCTTGGCGGCGTTGGCGCTCTCCACTCCCACAGTCATCAAGATGATCTCAAACCCCTCGACCACCAACGCCGCCACGTTCGACTTCTGCAAAGTCGCGCGGGCCACCGCCACCGAACGCGCCGTCACCTCGTGGTCCTGCAACCGAGGCACGATGCGCAGCAGGCCAGCGCGCGCGCTCATCTGGCTGATGAAGTGGAAGAAGGTGTTGTTCGCGCTGACCGTCGAGTTGACAACGCCGTCCTTGATCAACGAGGCTGCAATGGTGCTCTGGAAGCTGCCGTCGCAGAAGGCCGCCTCCCAAGGCGGCGTGGCGTCCCTGCACACGTCGGCCTGGCCGCGCAAGAGCTCCGAGAAGACCTTCAGCAACTGCGTTGTGCACGCTCCGCCGAACAAAGCCATGCGACTAGCCCACTCGCGCAGCAGGCCGACTGAGACGGGCGATGCCAACGCCATGGCCTCAGCGTCCTTGACCTCAGGTGAAGATACAGTCTTCTCCAACTCCATCAAGATCTCCTGGAAGCAAAGCTGCAAACCCGTAACCGTCTTGAACGCCGTGTCTGAGTCGACTTCGGAAACGTCATTCTGAAGAAGCACCTTGTCCAAGCACGCTGCACAATGGGCCACGCCCCTCGCCTGGCAGAAAACGCTCAACCAGCCTGTGAGGACGCGAACGGGCACCTTCAC